CTGCTGCTACTGCTGTTGCTATTGTTGATATTCAGGAACCATAGGAGAGGTTTGTGTAGAATCAATGGAGTAGGTGAAAGCTGAATTCATGCGAAGACCTGAGCTATGACCATGTGACAGTTGTGGTGGGCAACTGGATGATGACCTGCCTAAGGGTAGATGCCATGAGCGGCTAGAGCTACTGCAACAAACTGTGCAATTGTCTGGCTTATATTATTCTGAGCTTGTGTCATATGGGCCAGCTACTGTTGCATCAGAGCAATTTGTTAGCGTTGTCTTTCTAACTTCTCATTTTGTTTTGCTTGTGCCTCGTCATAGTCAGACATCATCATTACTGCTATTAAGTTTTTTCGAGGTTGTCTATTCCTATAAGTAAAACCAACCATCTCTGGATTTACTTGGGAGCCAATCCCTAGCATGAAATTAGATGAGCAACCTCCAACAGCCTTAACCCATGCCTTGTTATCCATGCATGGCCACAAACTAGCATCAGAGCCATGACTCTCTGTGCACTCCACAACATAAGTATCCTGAAAAAATAATAGTAATAGTAATAATATTGTCAAAAGCAGTTTGAAAAGAATCTATAAAAAAAAGTAGATTTTGCTAAATAATTTAGATTAATTACATAAATTTTTTTGACACTTATAACTATACATTTTATGCTAATTTATATGTTATATATACTTACAGATCGATGCTTTGCTTTTTCATTGATCCATGCCGGCTCTTGATCCTTTCCCACCTTTTTTTCTGAAGGTGTGTGTCTCCTTGAACTTCTCCTGATGGAGAGGATGCACACCACCTCTAGATTTAGTCTGTATTTCAAAATATTGATAATGCAATATATTGGTTAATATAAATTGACATAATTTATTGTTAAATAAAATTTAATATATTAAATTTTTTATTAATTAAGCTTGATTACCATCCGCATCTCATGGATGCTAAAGCAAATGGACCCAGTGGTGTAAGTCACCCTCTCCCCAGAACTCCTATTCTTTGCTCCCCTTGCACTAAGCATCTTATATTTATCAGAGTCCCAATATGTCAGCAGTTGAGACCATATATGAGCTGGGATCCAACATGGGACATAGGTTTAGTTCTTCTCCCATTTCAACTTCTCATCCCTAAGATTGTCACTCCATCTATGTTTCATACAATTTAGGAATGCATCTCGCACATGGCGATTATCTGCAGGATCCCACTAGTAAAGTGTCTACAAAATAAGAAATGAATAACATTAGATGTCTGAGAAATGTAAATTCTAGTTTAGTAATGAAATTATTTATTTTTATTAGAAATTGCTAAATCCATTCATTTTATTAAATTTGCTA